GGTGGGAGGACGGCTGGGTGCGTGGGTGGGTGACGCATGGGGACATGGGGGGGCCATGCACCCCGAGGGCTCAGTGCCGCAGCCCCGGGCTGCCTCCGGTGCCCGCTCCGGACCGACCCTCTCTTGGCTTGCAGTGCTCATCATCCCGCTGGTGGACAAAGACAGCGGGGCCGTGGTGTGCGTCATCCTGGTGAGCGCGGGGACGTGGGCAGGGCTCTGGGGGACGGGGACGGGGCCCGGACACCGGGGTCCTCACGCCACAACCCCCCCAGGTACACTGCAGCCAGCTGAGCGACTCGGATGAGCAGAACCTGCGTGCACTGGAGAGACACGTGAGTGACCCCGGCTCGGCCGTGGGACCCGGCACTTGGGGACCTGCCACCCCTGTCCCCCAGCCCTCCTGTCCCTTGTCCCTTACGCCTCGCCTCGCAGACCCTGGTGGCGTACCGGCGCCTGCAAGCCCTGCAGAAGCTGCAGCCCTGGCCCCAGGTCAGCCTCTCCACCAGCTCCTCCCAGAACTCCTTGGCCAAGCCCGAGAAGGCGCCCGACAGCGGCTACAGTGACCTGGACTGCAAGATCCTGCAGCTCTGCGGTGAGGCTGGGGCGGGGGGCACCGGGGGGGTGCGCGGGCAGGGGGAAGCCGGGGTGCTGAGCCCCTCACGGCGCTCTCGCCCCTCGTGCAGGCGAGCTGTACGACCTGGATGCCGCCTCGCTCCAGCTCAAGGTCATCAACTATGGGAGTAGCTGCCCCGCTGGCCCCCCGCCTCGCCCCCGGCCCCAGGGCACAGCAGGGAGCCCTGTTTTATTGCCAAAAAAAGAGAAAATCCCCCAAAGCAAAGAAAAACCTCAAGCATCAGCTGCGCAGCCATCAGTAGTGACCAGAGTGAACAGCCTTGTCATAACCATCAATAGTCTTCAGAGTTAACAGTGCTACCTTAACCACAGAAACTCTAAAAGAGAATCTGTGGGTCCCCCTCCCGTGCTCTGCACAACCCTCAGTAGTGTCCAGAGTGAACAGCCTTGCCCTCACCATCAGTAGTCTCCAGAGTGAACCGGATCGGACACAGGGGAGAGGATCTAGGGGGGGCACCCTGCTGGCTGTGGCATGGTTGGGTGCCCTGCGCACAGGGAGGCAGAGGAGGGGCCAGATCCTGCCCTGGGGGGGCTTGGGGCAGGCTGGGGTGCTGACCCCCACCCCTCCGCCCCCAGCTGAAGCAGGAGACCCAGTCACTCTGTTGCTGCCTGCTGCTCGTCTCGGAGGACAACCACCAGCTCTTCTGCCAGGTGGGTGCCACCGGGCCGGTGCCCCCACCCCAAC